TTGGTACTGCAAATGTTTGTTTCCTGAACCAAGGATAGTGCATTACTACATGTCCCATGCAGTAGATAACCACTCTCACACAGTGACAACTGTCCCTGCCGTACGGCAGCTCAACAAAAGCTTCTGGCAGTCAGGCAAACTGTTTTTATTATTGTTTGGCATCTCTCTCTGGAGAACGGCAGCTTAACAGCCCGTTCCCCCAGATTCATGATGTCTGACATGCAGTCCGGTAAATCAGTTCTCATTGAGGAACTGCATTAATACTGTAACACCAGAATAATCACTTCCCCATCGCGAGTGAAAGCTGAAGAAATGCGGCGCGAGTGAATTTTTGCACCATGGCCTCATCTCTTCGAACAAACAGCCAGTTTTCTTTCTCGAAATGTTACGTTGCGCAATGTGACGGAAAGCTTACTATCTGAGTGATGGATGGGATGGAACAAGCGAAACCTATAAATATGTTTCCGATTTTCATCTGAACGACTTCGTTACTGTAAATGAGTCGGGTGATGTCCGTCATTGTCATACAAGACTAGCCACGTGATTCGCAGCGGCCGAAGTTTGCAGCTCCTCAAAAACCTCACTACCGGAATTGTCCTACAATCGAAACCGCTCATGCGCATTTCCTCGTTCTTGCCCGTAAACAAGTTCCACTCCAGTTCGATGATTCTGCGGTGGAACGCCAACGACGTCGGTGACCTGGATCGATACATGCGAGGACCGCGAACTTCGTCCAAGCGCCAACGCAAACTTTTCAGCGGCTAGCGGCGGCTGCAGTCACTGCGGTTCCGCCACTGCGGCGATGCTATTGGTGGTGAATGGTAAACGACTAATCAGCTAACGACCAACTACCGAAATCGGTCACACGTTTGTCACGGCCATCATTAATCTCCTGGGCGTGAGTGGTTTTGCGGTGCGTGAATAAAGCGTTTCGCGTTGATGTGTATTATAATGGCGCTCGCAACCGAGCACCAAATGCTAGCCACCCGAAAGTTATTCCCAGTCTGTTCATCACTGACCAATTAGCCATCGTTTCACGTACGAAGCTGACCGCTACAGCGGTTATACGTGCCTGTCTTTGCCAGGTGAAAGCTTCACCGGTTAACGAAGCACCAAACCGGCGACCGGCAGTAAACGGCCCCCATCAACCAACACACGTTCGCAAACACAACCATATTTCAGTGTCCCTGAGCTTCACTCACACCGCCGACGGGTCATCGATGGGCAACATCGTTCGTCACCGACAGAGTAGGAACTTCGAAAGGTCAAGGTCAAGCTTTTGCCTCCTTATTAAGGTAGTGGCGCCGCCGTCATTCGTGCCTGCCAATGGTATCAGATTTTATGAGCGCAGAGCAGACTCGGCTACGGTGCTGTGGCGAGGTCGAGCCGGGAACTGTGCTGTGCCGTGCCGCTGTGCTGTGAATTGTCACAGCGAACGAGGAACGGAAGAATGACCGTAAATGAAACGTTGCTTTAATGATGGCCGTAAATGAAACGTTCGGTTACTAGTCGCAACTTTTCATTACCGCCATCAAATATTTCGATGGCAAAGAGGATGCTTCTGTAGAATGTGTGCAACAACGCTACAGCGTTGTAGGTGCATAAACGAATGAAGACAGTCTGCAGTTGGCTGCTCGCGTATTTAAACGCAGTGCAGCTTGCAATCTTGCAGTAAATGAAATGATGCTTCACTGCGTGAATGGCATCACTGGTAAAAATTATTTTTCAGCATACAAAATAAATGATAGAACGGAAGAAAACAGACGTTTCGCATTACACGTCATCACAGAACAATACAAAGAACAGATTCTCGACTGATTCTTTGCGATTAACGGCGGTCACGAATTTCATGTCGATGCCCACGCTCACCTGCCTCGTGCGATTTATCGCCACGTAGGTGTAGGGAAGATCGACATTCCAACGCATTCCAACGGCTGCAAACGTTTATTCCTTTCATTGATCAAGACTGTACGGTACGCTGCGGATTTGCTTCTTGTCTTGTGACTGAATCATTGCTTAAAGAGTACATCATTTTTTTATGATACATGCAAAAAAACTGCCCTATGCATGTCCTCACCACGTACTTTGTAATCCTGTAAAATCTCAGCAAAATTTTCTGAATGAGGATATACGCTTTCACTCACACGGAATGTGTATGAGCTTTCGACATGCTGGAGAATGAATAAATCGCACAGTGGCAGTTTACCAAAGCTACAAAAGAAACTCCACCGCCGCTGCCAATTCCCACAGACATCGACCATATAGAAACATCGCCCTGACCCCAAAGTTCTTTGCTCTATTACGTATTATTAGAATGGAATTATTACGCAACATTAAGAGTTATCTTAACTCTGGAAACTTTTCATTTGCAGGTGCGTTCCGTGATTGACGTGTGACCGTAGCTCATCGCAGTGGTTTGAGGAAATAAATGGTATGGAAAGAGTTTTGATAATGAATAAATAACTCTTCTGGCTTCTAATTCTGAGCCCATAGTCATACACATATATGTCTGAATGATTCATGGTTCAGGGCACCAAATACGGCAGATGGTGAACAGTTTAATGCAAACGCGTTTCACTGCACAGGCCGCAGCATCATCAGGGCTGAACACTGAAGATAAACAATAAACATAGACCATATTTAATTGAGCATT